AAATAGTTTAAATGAATTAGAGTTTAAATAGTTTAGTTATATACAAGAATTATATTAAATAAAACAATGAAATATAGCGACATGATTTTCACTGATACACGTTTTTGCTCACGGTTAATGACTTTACTGTGAACTTTATATCTCGGACACAAACCTCTTTGCATCATAAAAATTTGTAGGCAAGTTGTTTTATAGGAGTCGCGTCCAACATCATTTTTGTGAAAAATTCCACGCACTCATCAGGAACATTTCAATTTGACTTGGCGGCCAATAATCTCACACACATTGATAATTTTGAGTCTAACGACCCCTCAAACAACGACATATTCATTTCTTTCAACAATTGATAAAATCTTTGCGCTTCCTCATTCGGTAACTCATCCCTATCAAAATCTTCAGGTTCATCATATGTCCCATTCACCCCAAAAGCATCGTCAACAATCTCATCAATCAGATTAAATTGTTCATATTTCATATGTGATTGACTACAACATGCGTATTAGTAGTCTCTAGTACATTATTCGACAGTTCTTCTCCATTTTATGTCCAGACCCAATAATTTTCAATAAAATCCCTTCTCTTCAAATGACATTCTACTTCCTTTGGATCACTAATTATAGGTTTACGTTCACATTTAAGACAAAGACATCTTACTGTTCCTTCTCTTCCACAACATTATTGAGAAAATCCCCACGTGATAAATCCTTTAACTCCTTTCTCAAAATTTATTTTAAGTGCACGCCTTCCTGAATACATCATATCGTACATCCAACTATGATAATATCAATAATATTTTATACTGCACATTTGTACAATCATTACCATTTTAATTACAAATGTGATTTTAATAAGTTGACCAATTTGAAGAATTTTGATAAAATATTAACTACAAAAATATTTTATGTAAAATATTTTAATAACTATTCTTAATAAAAAAATCTATACATTATTTTACACATAAACTTATATTGACTACAAAGAACTTTTCATACATATAAATTTTATACTAATTAATATATAATATATACTCACTTACTATTTTAACTAGAAATAAATTTTATAACTATTTTTAATATATATATATATATATATATATATATATATATATATATATATATATATATATATATATATATATATATATATATATTCTGTTTTTATATATTAATAATGTATTTAAAAATATAATATGATTAAAATATATAATTAAAATGTGAAATTTTTTGAATAACAACAATTAAATAATAATCTTAACTACTACAACAACAAACAATCCAATAATTTTACTTATTAAAATTTGAAGAAAAAAATATAATAACTAAAATATCTCAATGAAACACAACTGATCCATAATTTTTTTTTTTGAGTTTTGATGAAGGTCTTGAATCTTGAGAAAAACTAAATTCACAATTCAAAAGACGAAAATTAACAAGGAAAATTAACATGTAAAAAACGAGAAAATGAAATACCTTTGAGTGAAATTGAAAGAAGGTGCAAATCACATATCAAATGAAGAGAATATATAAAGAAATGGTTGAAATTAGGGAGAGCTGTGTGGAAGAAGTTGGGATGGAATAAGAGAAATGAAGGAGAAATAAAGAAGAAACGAAAAGAGTATAAAAAGGTGAACCTAAGAAAGTGAGGTGGACATTAAATATTTAATTTAGCGTCGATTTAATCACGTCGCAAAATAAAATATATCCGTTGAATAGTGATGTGGAAAACATGTCGAAATGTCTAAAATGTCAAATATGTCATTTAAGTTGAGATATGAATATCATAACGCTACCAAAAAAACTATCAGTCAACCTGCAACCCCATAAATTTATCTAGTCAAATTTCTTCACTAAATTTTTTGATTTCTTAAATATTGTTTGCGACGTATTTTTCAAGTCATAAATAAAAATTGGAAAATTTCAAACTTGACTACTTTATTTATTTTTATTTTAAATATGATAAATAGATATGTTGCGTAGAATTTCTACGCCACAACATTTTAAAAAAAAATCCTCGTCCTTTTTCTACGTAATAACTTGAGTTTTAATTTTTTATTATTTAAAATATATAATAATGCGATAAAAACGTCCCAACATTTTTTGTTTTTGCTACATATTTTTCATGCCACAAAACCCGTCGCTGGGAAATGTTTTTCTTGCAGTGATGTCATATTGATCAAGTATCTCATTTGATTAAGTATTAAATGAGCACTACAAGAAACATTGCATTTTCCCAAGTGATTCCCACATCACTAAGCAAAAAATCACTTCACTAAGCAGTACTTGCGACGTGGGAGAAACACGCCGGAAATGCAATGGTGGAAACTTTTTCCCACGTGAAAAACACGTCACAAAGTTGTGACATTAAATCCACGTCGCAAATGACAAAGAAAAGTAGAAAAGGTTCCCACGTGAAAACCAAGTCACTAATTAGTGACGTGAAATTCATGTGGGAATGTACCTTTACCAATTTGGTCTACACGCAAATCTGACACAAGTTGAATTATTTTCACATGTGACTCCCACGTCACTAATTAGTGACTTGGTTTTCACGTGGGAACTCACACTGAGTAAATTTTTTTCCCATGTGATTCTCACGTCACTAATTAGTGACATGGGATACACTTCACTATAAAATTCAATAATAATAAGAAATAAATATTATTAACTGAAAACAAGTTTAAAATTAAAATAAATATTAAATATTAAATTTAAAATTAAAATAATTTATAATTAAAATAATATACATTAAAAATATATACATAATTAGTCACATGAAGTTCATGTCACAAATACAAATAATAATAATAAAAGTTGTCACGTATTATTCACGTCACAAATATAGACAATAATAAAAAAAATTATTCGTCTTCACTAAATGATACATCTTCGTTTTCTTCATCATCTTCGGTAGAATAATTTGATTTTGTGGCAAAAAAATTTCGCATTTGTGCCTCCATGTCTGATTGCCGCTTCCTCATTTCCTCTATTTCAGCATTTTGTCTATTTCTCATATTCTCCATTTCGGCCTTTAGGACCGCCTCACGTGTCTCCGCCTCTCGTCTCGCCTCAGATAGAGCTAACTGTCTCACTATTGCCAACATTTCTGGTGTCAATTCTGTCGGACGCGATCCTCCTTCCCCATCATCGAGTCTTTGAAATAAAGTCCGGTCCCCTTTTCTATAATCGCCAGCCAAAGTCCCAAGACCAAAAAAACATCCATTGACTCCCTTCCCGCCTACTGTTAAATTCCAAATATAAAGATCAACGCGTGGATCAAGCGGTGCATCCCCAATCGGCGTATATTGAGGATTTTCAGTTAGAAATTGAGCAAGCAAGGTCTGGTACAACTCCTACACACACATTAAAAAAATTAAATTAAGTATAATTTAAACAATTTAATTATATAGTAATTATGAAATTAAAAGAATTCAACTATAATAAACAACTTACCAAGGTTGATTTCGAACGACCGTCAACAAAGTCCCCCGATTTTTTGGTTCGAGTCTTCACAAACAGCTCATTAATTCGTGGCTCCCTCCCCAAATCCTTTTTCTAATAAAAATAATGAAACTTAATTAAATATATAATAATACAAAATAAAACTTAAAAAAATAGTTATAATTACCATTTGTCGACGATGTTCGCCGATACTGATACTTCTAACTGTACTAAGACAACCACCTGCTTCAGATGCCCTCATCTTTTTAGCATGTTCAGATCTTCTCTGAAAATCTTCTGTCTTCCACCACTGAATAAGTTCCCCAAATATTTCCTCACCTATCTAGTTAGGATGAGTTTGATCTCTTTCCCAACGTTGTCTAGCATTCCTGAGCATGTCAGATAATCAGCTAGATACTTTACTTCTGAATTTTTTTTTTAATTTTGTACTCGTCAAATTTCTGCCAAGTACACCTTTCCTGCAAGTTATATGACAGTCAAATAAAATGTTAGATATATATAACAAAAAATCGTTATAAAATAACATAACTATAATAAAAATACAATTTACCTTGAATTTATCAAACCATATATCTTTCTCAGTATCTGGGAGCTCTCCGAAAGACTTAATGAGTTTTGTATACATCAATTGAATGACCCAGTTTACAGCTTTAGCAGCAAGACGACACAGATCAAAACTAAACAACAATAATTTGAATGAGTATTAAACATAAAATGACAATATATAGCTAAATAAATATTATAAATTAAAAACATACCCAGATCCTTCAGGCCTAATCAGATGTCGTCCTTCAACCACCAAAAGCTCATCTACAACAGGATTTGTCCGCTCCTCATGAACATCGTCATCCCCCTGAACAGTGTGGTCATCCTGCTGCTGACGCGCAGGTATATGTGCGGGGTGTGGAATGCGGGAGCCAGATCCCTCTGACTGGTGCGTGGAGGGTGTCGGCTGAGGAAAACTAGATCCTGAAAGCTGCGGCGTGAAGGAATACTGCTGAGGAAAAACAGATCCCCCAGGCTGTGTGAAGTGAGTCTGCTGAGGAAAACTAGATCCCCCAAGCTGTGGCGTGAAGGAATACTGTTGAGGAAGAAAACTAGCTCCCCCAGGAAAATTAGATCCCCCAGACTGCTGCGTAAACGTAGATGGTACATGGGGAAAATTAGATCCCCCAAGCGGATGCATGAAAGATCCCCCAAACGGACTAATAAACGATGGATTCCCAGATGGAACCGTTTGAGAGGAGGAGAGTAATGTCGTAAATGGTTGTGAAGTGTCTACGGACATTAGATCTGCCTGAGACTGTGGGCGAGAAGCATACATGGGCGAGGGCGGTACCTCACGTGCTCTGGCTCTCGAACGGGGCTGGGTCTCCTTAGCCTTACCCTTATCAGTTCAGGGTGGCATTGTATCTATTTTGAAATAGTTATCAATAAATAAATAATACGTAAATAAATCAATATACATACGTAAAAATCATTTGCATTCATATAAAAAAAATAATACATTAATAAAAATTGTCATAACACATATAAAACTATCTATTCAAACTCTTCATGCTCTTCGGCCATATTATTTTCATCATCTGATCCAATAATGTCCTCAGATCCAATATCTTCATGTTCTTCGTCCACATTATTATCTACCAACAAAACAGATGCATCAATTTGATGACCCTCGGCCAATGTATCACACAAATTTGTAATTTCTTCAACTTCAACCACATCATTAATTTGAGAAATTTCATGGTCTTGGTAAGCAACATCTTCCACTAGATCCTTAGTTTCAATATGACTCAATGGTTTTGTTTTGATTACAACACACCATCCACGTTTACGTGACTGAATTGAAGGGTACGGAACATAATAAACTTGTTTAACGATATGTGACATTATGAAAGGGTCATACTCTTTGTACCTTCTGTCCATTCGAATATCAACAGTGTTATATTTCTTATCTATTAAAGGTTGCAAATAAACGTCGATTCCGGATTTAGGACTTGACGGTCCTGGAATGAGGCAAGTCAAAAACATGTATGGTTTTGTCATGCACATCTCATGAGGGAGGTTGTAAGGGGTTACGATAACTGGCCAACAGGAATATGCAATTGCAGATGCTTGGACGTATGGAGTAAAACCATCAGAGCACAGTCCGAGCCTGACATTTCTAGGTTCTGCAGCAAAATCAGAATGTACCCTATTAAAATGTTTCCATGCCTCACCGTCAGATGGATGTCGCATAATTCCTTTACATGTTTTGTTTGTATGATGCCATGTCATTTGACTTGCAATATGCATTGAAGCAAACAATATTTTTAACCTTGGTATTATCGGCAAATAAAACATGGACTTCACTGCTACACGTTTTTGTTTACGGTTAATGACTTTACTACGAACTTGATATCTCGGACTCTTACAGAACTTACATTCCTCCAGCGCCTCATCATTAATACCAAACTCATTGTCATAAAACAACATACATCCATTTATGCAACAATCAATCTTTCGTACTTCTAAACCCAACTTCGACACCAACCTCTTTGCATCATAATATCTTGTAGGCAAGTTGTCTTTCGTAGGAGTCGCATCCAACATCATTTTTGCAAAGTATTCCAAACACTGATCAGGAACATTCCAATTTGACTTTGCGGCCAATAATCTCACACACATTGATAATTTTGAATCTGCTGACCCCTCAAACAATGGTGTATTCATTTCTTTCAACAATTGATAAAATCTTTGTGCTTCCTCATTCGGCAACTCTTCCCCATCAAAATCCTGAGGTTCATCATATGTCACATTTACTCCAAATGCATTTCCAACCATTTCATCGATCAGATTAAATTGTTCATCAGATTCCATATGTGATCGACTGCTTGATGCGTGTGTATTAGTTGTCTCTGAATATACGTTACTCGGCAGTTGTTCTCCATTATATGTCCAAACCCAATAATTTTTAATGAAACCCTTCCTCTTCAAATGATGTTCTACTTCCTCTAGGTCACTAATTATAGATCTACATTCACATTTAAGACAAAGACATCTCACTCCTCCTTCACGTCGACAACATTCTTGTGCAAATGCCCACGTGATAAACCCCTTAACTCCTTCCTCAAAATTTGGTGTAAGTCCACGTCTGCCGGGTAACGTTCTATCGTACATCCAACTATGATAGTAACGAAAATACTCCATACTGCACATTTATTTGTACTGTCATTATATATCATTTTAATAAAATATGTAATTTCTACGATATATAATTTAAAAATAACACATTTAATACATATTCATTATTTTTTAATAAAAATATTTTTTCAAAAAGTAATACATTTAAAAATAACATATTTTAAATATAATACATATTCTTTATGTTTTTTAATTTTGTTTACTATTTACAATATTGTTTACTAAAAGTAATTCAATTATATATATATTCTTTATTGTTTTCAAAAAATATATTATTTATTGTTTTAAATATAATGAAAAAATATATTCTTTATTGTTTTATATTCTTTATTATTTTCAAAAAATATATTTTAATTTTTTAACATAATATATATTCTATTTTTCTAACATATATTTTTTTTATCATAATATATATTCTATTTTTTAACATAATATATATTCTATTTTTTAACATAATATATATAGCTATTTTTAAAAATTAAAAATACATATAAATATTTCTAATATATTATTTTTGTTTCTAATAAATATTCTATTTTTCTAACATAATATATATTCTATTTTTCTAACATAATATATATTTTATTTTTTAACATAATATATATTCTATTTTTAAAAATTAAAAATACATATAGATATTTCTAATATATTATTTTTGTTTCTAATAAATATTCTATTTTTTTAACATAATATATATATATATATATATATATATATATATATATATATATATATATATATATATATATATATATATATATATATATATATATATATATATATATATATATATATATATATATATATATATTCTATTTTTCTAACGTAATATATATTTTATTTTTTAACATAATATATATTCTATTTTTAAAAATTAAAAATAATTATAAATATTTCTAATATATTATTTTTGTTTCTAATAAATATTCTATTTTTTTTTTAACTTGTTTCAAATAAATATTCTGTTTTTTAATTAAAAATCACATATATCACCAAAATCTAAAATTTTAATCTAAAATTTTCTAAAAAATCTAAAATCTAAAATTTTCTAACATATTCTAACAACAACAATACATAACATATTCTATTTTTGCTTTGAACACCCAACACAACACAACACAGTACATAACATATTCAATTTTTCTAAATTTTCAACAACAACAGCATAATACACAATAAATATAAATAAATTAAAATGCATAAATATCTCTGAGCAAAACACTCAAAACTTTCAATGTTAGATCTGAAAAAAAAAAACAACAGTTAATAATAAGAAAAATATAAAATAAATACTAAAATAAAATAGTTAACCAACAAGTGTTTCACCTTAAAAATTTCGTATGGATAATGGAGTAAAAATGGAGCTGGAGTAAAAATGAGGGAGGGAGGGAGGAAGCAAGAATGAGGGAAGAAACAGAAAGGAAGAAAACTGATACAACGCAAGAGAAATTCTGGGGTTTTAATTAATAAGTGAGGTTGCGACGTGGCTATAGCTTGGGAAGGTTCCGACGTGGCTTCTGGTTCGGAAGGTAGCGACTTGATATATGCTTTGGAAGTTTCCGACGTGGCACCAAGGTCGAAACTTCCCTATATTAAATAATTAGTATTGCAGTCTCTTTATGCCAGTATACTTTTGAAACTTGCGACGTGGCAGCTACTTTAGAAATTTGCGACGTGGGTTTTGCTTCGGAACATTCCCCAAATATTTAATTATTATCGTTGGTCCACTAAATGCCAACGCAACGGTTAAAAAATAATTGATCTTAGTGGTTGCGAAGTGAAACACACGTGGGTAGTTTGTGGCTTTCTAATCACGTGGCAAATAAAATGACTTTTTTGAATTTTAAGTTTCCTTGTGATTTACACGTCACAACTGAATTTGTGAAAAATTCAAACTTCCCTCCCCTTAATATTTCAAATTTTCGTTCCAGATTTTTGATGTTCAAAATTTATTAATTAAATATTTTAGTGACGTGGTAATCACTTGGCAACACATTTTTTTCCCACGTGTTTACCACGTCACTAAATCACTAGAGAAAATTCAAGTTTTCTTGCAGTGGAGATAGAATCTAATTTTAGCTAAACAACATCAATTTAATTTGGTATATAGTTCAATATTTTTATGTTTGAAGTATAAATGATATTCCAAAGCTTTAGAATATCAAATTTGAGATTTGGATAAATAAAATCTTTGACCTAACAATTAAAACATATTTATTTAGACCATCATCATTTATATTAACACAATAAATTCAATTTTCATGGAGGGTCGAACTAATTCGTTTAAAGATCTAAAACAACTTTTAAGGGGAGGTCTTTAAAATAAATATTAAAAGAATAATAATTTTTGTTGTTGTCAAGAATTAAAACTCAAGAAAAAAAAGATTTTCCCTTTAATCAACTCAACTATAAAAATATATAAAAAATTATGTTATTTACTATATTATATAAAATTGAATTTTAAAGCTTTTTTGGCCCAATATTTATAATCTAAACCTCTATCTTAGGTTGCTTGCTCCTTAGATCGACCTTAATTTCACATGAATTATTTTGTATATGTAACACACAATTAATATTTTAAAAATCGGACCGATCATCAAATCAATAAAAATATTAGATTATTGATTCATCGGTCGAATTACTGGATCACTGGCCGAACCGAATGACTAAATCAGATTAAACTAGATAACTCGGTTGAATAGACCTGTCATTATAACAAAACTATATAAGTATAAAATCGGTCGAACCAAATGATCCAGACTCTAAAAAAAATATAACTAGCACTTAAATTTTTAAAAAATATCATATCATAAATTTACAAGTTCATAATTTAAATTCAAATTTTAAACATAGGTATCACACATAAAAAAATAGTACAAAATTGCAAAGTCTAATTACAACATAATCTAAATGGATAGTTTTGTAAACCCATAATTTCGACAAGACCATAATTTCGACAAGAGTAAAATTCAGGCTTTAAGGTCATCTTTGTCGAAGGATAGCATCAGGAGGAGAATCCAAGAATTGCTGACAAGGTTTTAAAGTTTCATTGTTTCGACAGAAATAGATATAATGTTCTGGCAGAATAGTTTGGAGAGTGTGTGACTGAGGGCTTCGACAGAAGAAGTTTGTTAATAAAAGATAAGGTTTGGCAAGTGCTGAAGAGTTTTTCTCCTTTAAAAGGGTTTCGACAGTTTTGAGGAGTTACAAGGTTTCGTCACCAAGGAAGAGATTCAAATTTCAAAAGGTTGTAACCTTTGGCAGTTGGACACATGGAGGTTTCAGAGAAGAAATTTACATGCAGGCTGACACTTGTCGTTTAGTTATAGTTTTTCCGTTCTAAGCAGTTATTTTGTTTGTGTATAAATAGGATAGTTTGTGGTTAGAATGTGTGTGTGAAAAATTTGTACAAAATTCCTGTAAAAGCTCTAAGTACCCAGTGTGAGAGAAAATGAGCCTAGTATTTGGAACAATGTACGTTTAAACACCAGTTATATTTCAAAGTCATTTTAAATTACTTGTTTATTCTTCAAGTTCATGTCATTTTACATTTCATTTACTTTTTTGCAAGTTTTTAGCCTTTCGACATTTCTTTGTTCTTGTTTAAACTTTTAACCTTATTTCACCTTTAAGTTCAAACTTTCGTTACTTGCAAAATCAAAGTCCTTAATACTTTGACAATATTGATAAAACAAACCGCAAATTAGTCACCAAAAGTCTAAGAGTATTTCGACAGAACCAAATGCACATGTATCCTAGGACTTGTATGGTTGGTCCTGCAAGTAACCCAACTTTCTGAAGAAATTGGTTAACCAGAGGTTGTTCGCCAGAAAACACAGCGAACAAATTGGCACACCTGGTGGGACCAGTGCATTTGATAAAATCTAATAGAAATTTTTAGACAAATTGTTCCTTGCTACGTTGTATGATTCTTAGAAGCGGTAAATTAGCCGTAACCGACGTAGAGAGACCAAAGAGAACAAGAAGAAGAAACATGGCTAACTTGCCAAATGCTTCAAATATTTCTGACGAAACCATTCCAGTTTCCAATCCTATCCCTTCGTCAGGAACAATACCAGTGTCTGGCCCTGTTTTAGAACAGATTAGGCCTCCTTTGGGGGATTCCATACCAACGGGTTCAGGATCCCAGAATGCGCCTAGTTCTTCCACCATGGGACACGCCAGACCCTTGGGAACCCCTCCCCCTGGAGGAAATACATTCAGGCCATATCTGAATTATTCTCAGCCTTTGACTGGGAGAGAACAACCGTACGGAATGCCAACTTCAATGATGGCAAGCCTACATAATTCGTCACCATTATTCTCTGATGCCATGGTTCAAGTGTCATCACCATTGCAAGGATCAGGATATGGTGGAAATGGAAATAGAATGAATCAAATTCCACCAGGTTTCCATATGCCCGCTATGACAAACCATTCTGCACAAGTAATCCGTCAACAGATGGATGAAAGCAATCATGATATGGTGCAGGCTTTGACACAACAAATGGGAGACGTGTTCAATCCCTTAATACAAAACACTACCCAAACAAACCAAATATTGGCAGAACAGATGGCACGCATTGCTGATTTTTTTGGAGTCCCACAAGCACAACAAAGAATGCAATTAAACCAGAATCCTGCCAATAGGGCTGTCGAAGAGGAACTCACTATAAACCAAAGGCCCTTAGGGAACCCTCAGGAAAATCCCAGGGGGCAAGAGGTGATGGTCGAACAGCCTCATGTAGAAGAGCCTATTCGACAGGAACCAAGAAGGATAATAGTCCAGAGAAACCAAAATGCTGACGAAGTGTTACAGCAGAGAATGCGTTACAATAACATGCCTGTCGAAAATGATATTGCCACCATGGTGGAGAGAATAATGGCACAAAACGGAGTAAACGTAGGATTACAAAGGCCTAGTTATACTTCCCCCTTGTCTGAATTTATCTTACAACAAGAGTTACCACCAAGGTGGAAAGTCCCCAAATTCACAAAATTTTCAG